CCCCAAAACCCCAAAACCCCAAAACCCCTAGTGAATGAATTGAAACGAGTTCTTGCTAAATGTAGAAATTTATATAAAATCTGAAAATTATATTCATCTGAGCTTACTTGAAGCTTATTGTTGAACTATTTTGTTTTAAGAAACTGTAAGTTTTCTGTTTAATTCTCTACTTTGAAATTTTTATTGTTGACTTAAGTGATTATGATTTATGTTAATTCCTCCATTCTAGTTCTAGATTGCTCTTTGAAGACTTTATTATTTTTCGATATATTTTTGCTTCTTTTTTGCAAGTTCGGGATTTGATATCTCTAGTAAATCAAGATTATTTTGCTCAGCCCATTAGTTTACGAAATTAGGAGTAATTTATCTCTTTAATCTAGTTTTTACTTACACAGTATGATCACTTAAAATGAAAGTTTAATGTTTTTCTACCATTCCTTACTTAAGTTTCTCAAGTATTTCTGAAGAATTCTACTTTTTATTATATTTGGAGTCTTGACGAAATTTAATTATTTTTTCGTAATTTTATCTTTTAGCCAACTGAAGTTTTGAGAATGTCGGCACTGTATATTTTTAATCATGACTTATGACAAATGTTGAAGCACTCTCCATAGCTATTTTCTGAGGATTCTTTTATTACATTGGAGTTTGTGCTAGATTTTTAAGAGTTGGAATTTGAGCTAAATTATTTGGTGTTAGAGACATTTTAGTTTAAGAAAATCCACCTGGTTGCATAGTGTTCAAAAGTATTGATTAATTCTTTTAATTATGAAGCGTGAATGATGATTTACTTGGTTTAATCTATGAGTTTATTTGAGAATATCTTTAAGAAGTGATATTCAATGCACTCTAGCTCATATTATTGGTATGCAATCCACCAAGCATTAATCCTGATGTATTTGGCCTTATAACAAATGAAGGTTAATAAAGGTGCTCATATTGCGAAATATTTCCTTAAGATTGAGGTCTAAGATTATCATTAGTCAATATATGATTAACAAACCCCATATCCATGCTTTGTTAACTATCTCTTACAATATCTTTTGGAGAAACAACTTATGAAGTTCTCATTTATTGATCTATTATCTACTTTTGAAAATTAGCTTATGTGTTAAAGAAGCCTCCATAATAAGATGTATTTGTCTAATCAATGCTACTATGAACTGCTGTCTTAGGTCTTCCACCATAATCTTTAGGACTTAGTGTTATTGTCTTATGTGCGAAGGACATTCTTTTATTAATCAAAGGACTTTGCATATTAGATTGGTTTATTGTACCCAAAGTATGATTTGGTAATATCATTGATTAATTACTATTTTACTTTATGGAAGTTTTATCAAGAACTGCTTTAATGTTTTCAGGTGGGTTTTAGAATTGATTCACGACCTCATCTAAACTTTTCTTTGTTTCTGGTAAATTATTTATAAAACTCATTAATGCCTAGTGATTTGCCTTTGGGAACCTCCTTGCAGCTTCATTAACTTTTTCTTTAAATTCTTCATAAATATTATCCCACCTTGAAATATTCTCTACCCCAAGACAAATATCTATAAATCTTTTAGTCACCCACTCAAGTTTTTTCTGAGCTTTATCTCTAAGTTACTCCTGTATATCCTTATTTATCTTCGAAGAATTAGTTAAATCCGCCTTCGAAATGCATAGCAGTTCAACGCAAGTTTAGCAAACAACAGAATACAAAAAGGGTTCATCTTTCCTAGCAAGTATCTCATCCCCTGCCCATTGTTTCTCCTCAATTATACCAATTTAAAATGAATTTAGTGTGTGAGAAAAGTATCCATTAGTATTAACGACTGTCCTCTAATTAGGCTTCTTAGCTTTATGTATTTAACTAAAGTATCCTATTACACTGCAAATATTTACCTAATTACCATTGGAATCTAATTTGAAATTATCCTAAGCTCTCCTTTCTTTACAATATAAGCGAATTCACTTCTCTCTCCTTCTCGAATTAAAACATGACCAGGTTTAAATGTCTATAATTATTTTAACATAAAACTACAAACCTTTTTCTCAAAGTATTTTATAAATTTTTCCTTCTTTGCTCTATACTTAAATCCTGGGATAGAATCACTTAAAAATGCAAGCATCTCAAATTTCTTTTATTCCTCATTCTACTCTTCAAAAAGTATTTTAAGACTTTGAAAATCAATTTTTAGTAACTCAGCATCCTCACCCTCAGGATATGCATAAATACTCCTACAAAAATTTTACTAAGTTACATACATACTTCCATCCTTTGTCTGGAGAAAAACAAGAAAAATTTCCAAAAGTTTAGCATGGCTTTACGGTCTTGAAAATGTTTATTTAGCTAATGATGTCGAACTAATCTCTCTCATTAAGTTCCTAATAATTGATATTTTTAGTTGATTAGTACTTTATGAACTTCAGCAGGTGGAAATGCGGAAACCTTTATTCTGCCTTTAAGGACAATATACATATCTACAATTTCATCGTCTTTCGAAATGATTAACTCATCTTTTTTCCTTTCTTCATAAGAGATGCAATTTATGAACTTTAGAATTTTAGATGATAAGTTATTTTGTTTACTTTATTTCTTAGTTATTGATTAAGTTCCCTGAATCCTATGATATCTCTAACTAATACTTTGATGGACTAATACAAAATATATAAACGACTAACATTAAGCATTATGATAACTACTTACTGGGTACTCTTCTTCGCTTATTTTACCCTTTTTTTGCAATGCATATTTCAATTCGTTGAGCTTGCTAATGATGCTATCATCAGAATTATGGGTTTAGCTCTTGTAATTTCTAGCTAAGTCCTTATCTGCATTACCACTGCTATAATTCATGCTTAGCTTACTTTATGTATGAGTAGTTTAATTCTCCATAAAATTAAGTATATAGATTTAAATAAATTAATATTTAATTTTTAAGACACAGCTTTGTAAATTATATCAAATATTTAGCTTGATAGAAGTGCTACAAATGCAAGCATCGCGATAGTACTAGATCATTAAGGAATTAGGATAAGGCGCCCAAGGAGCAGTTTATATGATGAAAGACGTTCTCACGTAGAAGAAATTTGCAGCAAAAATAGTAATCATTGATGAATCTAATTTACTGGATTTAGTATACTAAGAATGACAGATATAAATTAGAGGAGGAAATACTAATCAAAGTTAAAGAAAAGGAGGGTTTTCCTCACATAAGTGATGTGACTGAGATCGATGATCATTAAATGATTGTTATGGACGTCCTTGGTGCCAACCTTAGGTCTCTCAAAGAGCAATAAGGTGGTAAATTAAGTGTACATACATCTCTGCAAGTAATGCATCAGGCAGTAAATAAACAACCCATAGTGATTTAATTTAATAGATAATACGATTAGAGGCACTTCATAATTTAGGATATGTGCATTGCGATCTCAAACCTGATAATATCCTTATTGGTTGTAACACAGAGGATACAAATATTTATTTAATCGATTTTGGTCTTGCCCATTGTTATTTGAATTCTAAAGGCCTGCACATTCTACCTCCAAAGAAAGTAAATTTTAAAGGATCCATAAGCTACTGCAGTCTTAATCTTTTAAATAAACAGTGTATGTTCCTGTTTTAATCTTAATATAACATTTCAGATCCATCTAGAAGAGATGACCTAGAATCACTTCTCTATGTTACTATGTTTCTTCTTAATGGTTAATTACCATGGAATGATGGGGCTCAGAAACTAAGAGGACAAGAGAGACTTAATTACGTTATTAAAATGAAATAGGAACTAAAAATTGAACAATATGGCTAAAATATACCAAGTAAATATTACCACATCTTGATGTAATTTTGTAGAATCTATCATAAAATGTTATTAATATATAAGATCACTTAAATTTGATCAGGATCCTGATTACAATAGACTAAAATACTACATTTTAAGGGATTTAGAAACCAATGGGCTTACTATAAATGGGGTTTTCGATTGGTCAGATTCTGATTTTGTTTTGCAATCATAGCTTTCAGTGCCAGTAATCGTCCCTAACGAAATAATAATGAAATCAATTTATGAAAGAGACTTTCATCGAGAATCTATTGAGAATGCTTCGATGGAAGTTGACTATAAAGACATTATGTCTATAGAATTAGAGGAGAATGTGTCTATAACATTGATGGAGCTATCACCGAATAGAAATTAACTATCCTCATTGAGTCCTGATTCAAAATTAAGTTCTTAAGAAAATGGTAGCAACGACTCCTTTAAATTTTAAAGTTTAAATTAGTAATAAAGAATGTCTCCCAAGAAGAAGTCTCTATTTAGCTTTCACAATAATTCAAATAAGCATAGGAGCTTCAACTTGATGGAGTGTCATGACATAGAAGAAGATGACCCTTTAACTATTAACGATGAACTAGTTGATGTCTCAGATATATCAGATTCAAGAATAAAAAGAGGTCTTTCGCTTAAAAACAGTTCAAAAGTTCTAACTAAAATACAAATAGACAGAAGAGAAAGTTAAAAGCTGATAAGAAGAGAATTTATATGAGTAGATCATTTGAATAAATGAGCATGTATGGCAGTAGATTGTAACTAATCAAATGGAATGTATAAATCCATCATAGACTTAAGATTAAAAATCTTATCATATTTATATCAAGCCTATAAAATTATTCACGCAAGAAACCAATTATTTCAACTACTCTTTAATCGTTTTGTGTTAAAACTAGGGGTTTTGGGGTTTTGGGGG